AATCCAGACGATACTGCACGTCCCAGAAGGCCTCACACATTTCATGAGCAGTCACCTTGTTAACGGTGTAGATGGCCTGAAATGGGTAAACAGACGAGTAAGAAGAAGTAGTAAAGTAATGAAAACAGGTAACTATAGTGATGTGTGTACGGCGAGACTCGGTATTATGGGCTTCTATATGCACTTCTAAAGCGAGAAGTTCTCCTGATGAACTTTTGCATGTGATCGAAACATAAGAAAATGTGCACGTGTTTTCATGAGTCTCGAAAGTATTCTGATCAGGTGTAAGAAAGCACATTTTGTAGTCAGTGTATGGCGATAGATAGCCCAGTAATGTAATAATGACTAGTTTAAAACGACCCTAGTCCATGCTCGGGTACGTATAGCATAACGTTTAATATTAGGGACTAAATAAAAGCTTCGAAAGGATGGATAAGTTAAGGTGTTACCCATATAGGTGGGCTTCTATATGCACTTCTAAGTCAACTAGTTCTCCCGATGAACTCTTGCATGTGATCGAAACGTAAGATGTACACGTGCCTCCGGCATGATCAAATAAAGTACACTGTCGAAGTTATTGTGATCAGGGGGTCAATGCACGCAGGTTGATGTCCCAGGAGTGTACCAATGACTAGTTTAATAACGATCATAGTCCAGTAGTCGGTACGCATAGTACAAAGGTTAATCGAAGTGTTTGAAATTGCCATACCAGTCACCCTTGCCTTTGTTGGCAATGCATTTTTATATGATAATAATATTGATGTATCAATATATATTATATGATATTAATATTTATTATGTATTATGTATATTATATATGTATATATTATATAAATATTATAATATATAGATATATAAATTGGTCCTTTACTGGCCCAGCGTCTACACCAACACCCCGTGTGTTTGTCGAGGTAGTAGCATGGCATAAAGTTGGACTTCCATATGCAATTCTAAATCGCAAGTTCTACTGATGAACTCCTACATGCAATCGAAACGTAATAAACTATACAAGTGCTTTCAGAACGTTCAACTTAACTACACTGTTGAAGTTATTGTGATCTGGGGCGGGAATCAGCACATTTATAGTCAATATACAGCGGTAGGTAGGCCACGAATGTATTAATGACTACTTTAAAAACGATCATAGTACATGTGTGCCTACGTAGAGCATAAAGGTTAATTTAAGTGATTGAATAAGAGCTCAAAAAAGATGGAAAAGTCGAGAACTCACCAACAATGGATCCTTATAATTGCCATCGGCGCTCTCCACCTCCCTATTGTAGATTGTCATATTGTCCTGCTTAGCAACCACATTCCAGCCTTTGCTAGCGCAATCGAGGCCATCCTCGTCGCAGCGGAGGAATTCTCGGAAGATGTCTATCCTCTCCTCGCAGACCCTGTTCACTTCTTCGCTCAGCGGATGTGAGCTGGGCGAGGCATCTCCGGAGTCCAGGCTGTCGTTAATCGATGGGGCTTTGAGTACATAAACTTCACCCTCTGTTTGCGAAGAAAGAAGTAAATTTGTGAACTCATATACATAAAGGGTGTTGCGATAGCGTGATTCCTACCCTACTCTCCGTACTGCTTAAACATCGAAACAAAAGCTAAAAAAATATTTTGTAAATACTGCGAGAAATAAAGTCAAATTATGTATTAAAAAACAAGTGGACAATAAGTACTACTTCAATATTGCATAGGATTGCTACTGAATTGTCTTCATCGCCGTTTAAAAACATTAGCAGTGATCATCCAGGTGCCTCTGAAGTAAGTGCTTTGGATCTCTATGGGTTTCTTAAAAGTTAAATCTTGCTGTCTAATCCCGTCTCCTGGATTCGCGCGCTCTGCGTACCCATATTCAGATAAACGTAATTTTCCTGGTGATTGTTGTGTTGTAATCGTAACCGGCCTGAGTAATTGCCGATACCATTTCGGAGTGCACTTCCAGGCAGTAAGCTTTGGTACTTCTTTCAGGGGTATTCTGTTGCTCTAGTGATAAATAAACCCCCAAATGTCACAGAGATTCAAATTGAAGTAGAGTCTTCCGTTCAAATCACAATTATGGCAGCATTCGTTCCCCTTTCTTAGTGATCGAACAGATTGGCAATGTTTTCTTCTGCATATCCAAAGCAACCAGATAATTCCTTTACAATGAGACCATGTAGGAGGAGATATCGTGACACGAATTCTTCCCTCTGCACCACTTCAAGCTCAAACGCCTGTTACAACATTTCGAAGATAGAAATCACGCTATGGTAACACCGAAGAAATAAATAAATTGCAAGCAAGGAAGGATAACCTCATAAAGGGCCATAAGGGCTCGCATTTACTTTGAAAATTTTTAGAAGCTTAACGGAACTTACTGTTCATGTTTCTTGAGGTTGGAAGGCGATTACCGCGGTAGGAAATAATATCAGTCAAATTTTCCGGCGGCTTTTTATATGTCATTATATCCAATCAAAAACTCACTACTGCACATGATACTAATCAGACCTCCGCCGAGATAAGGACCTGTTAATTTGACCAAAGAATGAGGGTGTGAGCTCACCTGACTCCGCAACACTCTTCTTTGTTCCTCCATTATCGGAGCTGCTACTTTCTCTTCATCGGATCAGCTGGCTGATTAACAGAACCCGCCTAATTCTGGTTGCCTATTGGTCCGTTTTTTAACACATCAGCCAGGCGGGGGCGACGACTTCGGCGGCATGATAGTGCTTGAGTGTTTTGACACTGTGCTTGCATGGCTCATCAGAATGATGTTTGCAAGCGTGGGAGGGCGGTGGCGGGAGGGAGAGGGAGAGAGTTGAAGGTAGGCATCGATTTCGATGAAGTCCACCAAGTGCACCAACAGGTTGGTACAGAATGTGACGGTCTCAGGGGTTAGGTTTAAAGTGATAGCGGACGTAGTTAGCGCCAACCGCACTCTCCGTCTTCGCCCGGAGTCTCGAAGACTAAAGGGGGCCCCGCGTTGTCTGCTTTCTCCAATGCAAGCCGAAACACCGCCTAAATTAGTCTTAATTGACAGTAGACTTTGCGCGGCTACTACTGTACTATCTACCCTCACTCACCCTTAGTAAGTGTAGAGACAGGCCCAAGGAGGCCGAGACTGATACGGTTACTAATTTTTCTACTACTACTGACTATCAATGTAGCCGAATCTTAGTAGTACCCGTACTATTTCTGACGCTAACATTTGTCAGAAGTCACGCTGGTTTGGAGTTAACGCTGGGGCCCACACCTCCTTTGTTCCCAAAGAGGAGTGGGAAATCTAGGTTTATGCTATTTCGAATAAATACATGTTTGAGGCCCTGAGCACATCAGGGCTTGCCTTGCATTCTGCCTTCTCAACTCTATCCTCCCAGGCTGTGTCCGTTTTAAACTAGGAGCTGGACTACGAGGACTAGGATACTGCTGTTATAAGTACTTGCCTATGCTAAAGTGCTAATTCTAGTAACCATAGTTACTAA